TTAGGGTCTTTACCTTACAGTGCCTCTTGGGATTTGATGCTATATAAATAAAATTTATCTGATGTACATTTTCCCTATTTGCTGTAAAGAGCCTTATGGGTACACATGAGATCTCGTGTATATGTTGCATTGACATCAATGTTCATCTGTCTGCACTGCACCAGTTTTGAAATGCTTCCCAGTTCTTTCTGCATGGGATCAATACCACAATATTTCTATTCTACAGCCCCAGATTTGAACTTGCTATCGGAGCACCATTCCAAATGGATCCGACATTGGAGAGGAAAAGGGGAGTATGTCACCATAGCAACACAGCCTGCAACAGCTATTCTAATGGTATAGAGAGAGGGAGGAGCAGCGCAGGCTAATGTACATTCAGCAGCTCTTTTGGTTAAGCAGTGAAGATGTGAGGAAGAAAACCAGGAGGGACACAAAGACCATCGGAAACCTGAACAGTAAAAGGGGCAATATTAAGCTCTATGCTCTTAAGCAGTGTTGTGTGCAGTGCTCAGATTGCTGAGCTTTTACAAAATTGGCAACATTCACAATATTGCTTCATAACTGAGTTAAGATTATGTAGTCACAAGCCTTAGTAGAATAAAAATAAAAACCAAATGTGAAACAAACAAATAAAATACGTATCATCATTTGGTTAATATATTTACTGAGTCTAGCATGTCCCTGTAACAAAGCATTTGCACCGTAAAGCCTGTTGTAAACGTCATAAATCTTGTGGCTGAAAACATCACAAAGCTAATCAAAACTCAAATAAAGTGAAATACTTTTCAAACAACAAAAATTAAATTGAAATGAGCATACACATTTTCAAAACTAAGACTAAACTGAAAATAAAACTTTGAAATGAAATTAATACTAAAAACAATAACAAAATATAAAACCATAATATCTGTGAACACCAACGACCCACCCACAGGATTACACAAGTTAGTCTATCCCAAGTGCCTGTCCCAAAACTACAGGCAATTGTAGCAAAATCATTTATGTGTAACTCAAGCCACATTTACGTATTTAAATCTCTGTAGAGATGTATTAAACAAACAGAGATTGGAGTATTTTGTATACATTTTTGTATCGCCTCAGGTTGCTTGGAACCTAAGCTGAGTAGGTACTAAAAAAAGTACCTGATACCAGGTACTACCACCTAATTACCACTTAATTAAATACTACCACCCTAAAAACTGAGTCGACTCAAGTCGAACCAAGCTGACTTGAGTAGGTACTGATGAAAAAGGACTAATCTATCTCGTATGTGGTGTCCCCCAAGGCTCAATACTTGGAATAATTATTTTGGTTTTTTTTTTTTTTTTTAACGTGTTACATGTTACTCTGGGCCATCTACTTCATAGTTTTAAAGGAATCTTCTACTACTGGTGATAATTTTGACCGGATTATTAAGTGATCATTCTGGGCTTATGTACAGTTGATGGCCCATTCAAGAGGCAAATGACAAAAATACCAGTATTGTATTTTCTTAAATTTTAGATATTGGAACTATATATCATCAAAACAAAGATAATTAAATAATTTTTTATCAGAACACTTACATAATTGGTATTATACAATAGTATGCATTTTACCTGCCCCTTTAGAAGGGAAGCCTTCTGAGGGCTTCCCATGATACACTGACTGTTTTGTCTTCACTGACCTTTGTCACGCACTATATGTACACCTATCTGCAATTAATCATTAATTCTTAATAATCTCTGGCTCTCTTCCACAGTATGTCTTCATCTCGTCTTCCTCCACTCACCCCAGGCAGTTGTGGCAGATGGCCACCCCTTCCTGAGCCTGGTTCTGACAGAGGCTTGTCCTGTTAATAGGGAGTCCCTAAGGGAGACTGTGGAGATTAAGTCCAAATGGATCATGTTCAGCACTTCCATTGCCAAAGCAGCTACACTGAGCTGCAGCTGCAAAGTGGTTGGTGCCTGTCGTGGTGGTAACCCCTGGAAAAGGATTTGCAGATTGCCTCAAAGAGATTCTGGTAAACTGTCAGGCTACTTAGGAGAAAGTGGTGCTCTACCTGCCCTGTGTGTCGTGTGGGTGGAGCGCTGCTTACTTTGACTGAGAACATTGTCAGGCGGTGGAATGAATACTTCGACGACCTCCTTAATCCCACTGGCAAGTCTTCCTCGTAGGAAACAGAGACTGGAGACGAGGGGGACAACTTGGCTGAGGTGAGGTCACTAAGGCAGGGGTTCTGCCACCAAGGCACTCCTTGGTGGCAGAACCCCAGGGGTGGATGAGGTTCACCCTGAGCTATTTTGGTTGACATGCCTCTACAAAATTGCAATGAAACATGAAGCGGTACCTCTGGATTGGCAGACCGGGGCGGTGGTTCACATCTTTAAGAAATGGGACTGGAAGTTGTGTTCAGGGATCACACTCCTAAGCCCCCCTGGGAAAGTCTATGCCAGGGTGCTGGAAAGGAGAGTTCGTCTGTTAGTCGAACCTTGGATAAAGGAGGAACAATGCAGTTTTTGTCCGGGTCGTGGAACACTGGACCAGCTCTTTATCCTGTCAAGAAAATTTGAGGGTGAATGGGAGTTTGCCCAACCAGTCTACATGTGTTTTGTGGACTTGCAGAAGCCATTCAACTGTGTCCCCCTGGGTGTACTGCGGGTTGCTCCGGGAGTATGGGGCCCATTGCTACGGGCCATTCGATCCTTATAGAACTGTTGCAAGAGTTTGTCCGCATAGTCGGCAATAAGTCAGACTCATTCCTCGTGCGTGATGGGCTCCGCCAGGGCTGCCCTTTGTACCAATTCTGTTTGTAATTTTTATGGACAGAATTTCTAGGCACAGCTAAGTGGTGGAAGGCTTTCACTTATGTGGTCTCAGAATCTTATCTCTGCTTTTCGCAGATGATGTGGTTCTGTTGGCCTCATTGGGTGATGGCCTCCAGCTTGCACTGGAATAGTTTGCAGCCGAGGGTGAAGCGGTGGGAATGACAATCAGCACCTAGAAATCTGATGCTCAAGAAGAAGAAGGGTGGAGTGCCCACTCAGGGACGAGTCCCTGCCCTAAGTGGAGGAGTTTAAGTATCTTGGGGTCTTGTTCACAAGTGACAGGAGAAGGGAGCAGGAGATCAACAGACCAATTGGTGCTGTGGCTGCAGTGATGCTGACACTGTACAGGTCCATAGTGGTGAAGATAGAGCTGAGTATAAAAGTGAAGCTCTCAATTTATCGGTCAATTTTTGTCTCTACCCTCATCTATGGTCACAAGCTTTGGGTAGTGTCTGAAGAACAACACTGCGAATACAAGCAGTGGAAAAAGCTTCCTCCGAAGGCTGGCTGGCCTCTCCCTTAGAGATAGGGCTAGAAGTTTGGTCATCCGGGAGGGGCTCAGAGTAGAGCTGCTGCTCCTTCACATCGAAAGGAGCCAGTTGAGGTGGTTCAGGCATTTGACAAGGATGCCTCCTGGGCACCTCCTGAGTGAGGTGTCCCGGGCATGTCCCACTGGGAGGAGGCCCTGAAGCAGACCCAGAAAATGCTGGAGAGGTTATATCTCTCAGCTGGCCTAGGAATGCCTTTGTGTCCCCCCGGACAAACTGGAGGAGGTGGCTTGGGAGAGGGAGGTGTGTAGCTTCTCATAGTAAAATTTATGGCACAGAGGTAACAAACTGTTTTCCCAAAATATACACAAGAGATATTTGGAAATTATAAAAGGTTAAAAAGACTTCTTTCCAGAATCCTCAAAGACTGTTCTGAATATTAGAATAAAAACATAGCCAGTTTAATAACCAGATAAGTGTTATTGGTTAGCAACACTGTCTTTAAGAGAAAATGGTAGAGCCACAGACTGAGCCCAGAAGATCTGCCTATTCAATGGGCAGCATGGAGGGAACGGTTGTAAGGATGCATTTAATTGATGACTTAGTTTGAAGTGTAGCGGAGGGGGTGAATGAAACAACACACACAATTCTTTCATCACCATCTGCCTGGGGTCAGCATCCCATCACCTTCCCCAAAGATGAAGAGAAGACCAGCTTCCACACCCTCAGTTCCCTGCATCTTTTCTAGCTCTTGCCCTTTTGCCCCAGTGGCCCACGCAGTTCTCAAAGAACACTATGTACTAGATGGATGGATGTACACACAGCTGTGTAGCAGTGTTTAAAGAAAAAAAAAGGTGGATCATAGAAGTGACAGCATGACATCTTTGTTTCTTATTCTGATCATTGTCACTGTTTGCTTTCGGCCTAACAGAATCCAGGCTGCCATTATTCACATGGCTGGTCTTCATCAGTACAATAAACACGTAAATAAAAACAACCAACCAAACACAAAGATATACGTAAAACTCTTAGAAAAACAAACACCTGCTCTGCTGAGATGATCTGTTTTCTCACTTTGGGTAGAAGAAAATGACTGACGTACCCGGTTATTTCGTGTCGTCTACCGCCATCTTGTGTCCAAATTTTGATTGACACACACACACACACACACACACACACACACACACACACACACACACACACACACACACACACACACACACACACACACACACACACAGTCGTGCCATTTTATTGTCGCAAGAACGACAACGCGGCATTAAGAAAAGACAAAAAGATATGATAGCTTTTTTTGTCTCTTTTGTTTTTTAAATTCACTTTAACCTAAACAAAATCTAAAACCTCTAGATTACGGAAGAAAACGACAGCGTTACCTGAAAATAAAAATTTTCTTTCAGATTTTTGGGTTTGTCCATTTGGTAAGCTTCTTTTCAAATTATGTTACGCTCCTCACGCATATATTTTTGTTAGTTTTGTTGAGTTAGCTGAGCTACGAGTCTGTATTTAATTTGTCACCTTATTTGTCACTACCAATTTTTTAATAATAATAATAATAATAATAATAATAATAATAATAATAATAATAATAATAAGACGATAAAGAAAATCAAATCATTAAAACTAATTAAATGGGAGGCAAAGGCCATGACGTTCACCCGGAAGTAGATCTCGTATGGTAGAACGCGCCATGGCCACTGCAGTAGTTTCTCACACAGCCTGTTAGCCGGTGATAAGCATAGCACAGGTCAGTGTTTCCTTTTGACAAGATTGGGACAGTAAGCGACAGCTGAGGGAAACTGCTCATCATGAGAAGTGTGCTGATGGTAGCGGAGAAGCCGTCCTTGGCTCAGGCCATTGCCAAAATCCTTTCTAAAGGTGGGTACAGAGTAAAAGCTGTGTCGATCAGCACGCAGTGGAAGTATGGTGGAGCCGAAATGAAATTGATTAGCTTTGATCGGCTGACTTTTTGGCGTTTGATTGGTTTTTGTTTTGTTTTTGTTGTTTCTTTCTTTGTTTTTTCAGAATACAAGGATTTTTTAAATCTGGGCACTCAGCATATATAAGCCTGGCTGGCCTGCTTGTCTTAATTAGAGTAATCCAAATGATGATTCCAGTGTTGGACTTGTTGGTTTGTTTCCTGTGTTTGCCTGTACTGCTAAATGACATATTATATACAATAGTTAAAGCAGTACTCTCTTTTTTTAGACACTCTTAGACTGGATCTCGAATTAAACAAAAGTGTTGTGATAACAAGGCTGTCAAAACACTACACATGGACACAGAATTGACACCGTATAATATAAAGTGTCTCAGATTGCTTTAATGAGCTGTTAACAAGTGTGTAATAACTGATAACCTTTTCAGTGTCTTCTGGAAAACAAGCACAATGAGTGAAATGGGCTATTTCTCAGTAAAATTGATGTGAAAACTATACTTTGTCTAAACAGTGGATGTTGGTGAAGTTTTCCAGTGGCCCAAGTTGACCATAGCATGCTCTGTTGTGTTCAGCTGTGTCTGGAGATGGCACATATACATGCCACAGTGATGAGCTCAAACTCCAGAGAGTAGCTGGCTGAGGGGAAGCAGCTGGGGTTCTTTTTGAGGACTGGCATCCTCAGGGATACGGGGATGGTCTCTAAACCAAATTCACTGTCGAGTCCCCTGCAGGAGTGGCCGGTGTGGCAGCTGGCCTCATGGATGACCTGAGGCACCCGGTTCAAGTCGATGTTTTCCCTGGTGAGAGATGAAGAGTAGGCCTATACTGTGAATCTGGATTTGGGCTTATCTGGATTTTCTGTACTACAAAGGTAGTTCACTTCTTACTGAGGTAATTCACCATGGTAACTCATGCTGTGAATCTAACCTGCTCTGGAGCAGGTTAAATTCCAGATTAGAAATCACCACCTACTGGCCAATCAGTTCTCCAGAAAATAGCATCAGCATCCCTGGAAGAGTAGGAAGGTGTTAAGTTTTTTAACCTTGTCTAATGTCTTTGTTTCCCCATTGAGCATCAGTAACTCAGACTCACAGACATACGCATGCAACAGCTTTTTTGCAGCTTTTTTTTTTTTTTTCATTTGTTATTCTTGAGTTTAGACATTTAAAATACGTAATTCCACTCTTCTAGTGATTTAAGGAATACCGGACTTCATTATTCATTCAGAAGTTTTCTGATGCTAAATTTTCTTTTGTCATTAATCAGCTTTTTCTAATTTAACTTTAAAGACGTTCAGGTACTTTCCAACTTTGAAACTTCTTCTGTGTGAACTTCAGCTTTCAACAGTTTTGCACTTTTGCTTTCAGGTGAATGATTCAATGTATTTCAGCTCATTCAAGATTTTTTAAACTAAATATTCAGCAATTATTACATTTCAGCTCAAACCATTCAGCTGTCAGCATTCACACTGCATTTTCTTCAGGAAATGCATTTTCTAGTTACACCTTGATCTGCAACAAACAAGAGGGATGTCCACGTCTCCTGTATTAGGCTGTGAGCCAGTGAGTTTTATTATTAAATGGATCGAGTTTAAAGATCCAGAGCTCTAATTTGTAGGGCTGCAGCTATCAGATATTCGAGTAATCTATCGATTATTCCATTGATTAATCACATAAGAATAACTTTTTTTTGTTATTAATGAGCATTAATAAATATTCAAATTAGAAAAAAACACAGGTCTTTAAGAATGAACTACTCATTGGTTTCCATTTTTTTTTTAAGAAACCATAATCTTAAATGTAAAAATATGTAAATAGTCTCAAGTACAGACAAAGGTCAAAGTCAAATAAAATAAAATATACAATATACTAAGGCATAAGAAATCTACCTTTACTCTGTCTTCTTGGAAGGCTTTCCGATGTTAATTGGAGGAATGTTGTTGTGCTGCTGAAAACAGATGTTATGGTGGTGTAGACATTTTTATTAATATTAATTACTGTCTAACCTAACAACCCTCAGCTCATGGCTCAGAGTGTAATGGCTCATTGGCTTGTGAAAAGTGTGGAGTTTTTAAAAAATATATATTTTAATTATAAAAATTAAGATATTTAATTAATACAATAGTTTGTATTATTTCACTTTCGATCTGAAAAATGTTACGAAAGCCTCAACTTCTGCAGACATACTGGAGATTTTTCTCTGTGTAAAACAAACAGAGAAACAAAAAGCTACAAAAGTTGCTTTTCTTCGCAAAGTTTGTGCTTTAATGAAGGACTCCCGCAGCTTTTTCTGCTAATTTGTAAAGTTCCAATATGGAGAGATGCTTTTTCTTAGTACTAGACTTAACACTGCTGGATAGACCCATCCCATTCAACATTCTCTCAGCCAAGCAGAATCAGCATAAGAGTTTGCGTTGCAGGTTCCAGCACTTACACGTAGCTCCAGGTCGCAATGCTGCGCTCGTTGATGCGGGTGGGCAGGTTGACCAGCTGGCTGTGGTAGTCCTGCAGGCTGTACGTGCAGAAAGATTCGTCCACACACTGGCTGCTCAGTGACAGGGCCACGCACTGATGAAGGGCCAGCAGACACAGCAGAAAGACACGCAGCTGCTGAACACACAGTCAGCGAGTTTATGTTTTGATGGATTGATGAGTTTCTTATCGGTGAACCCAGACACATCACCAAGGTTTCTATACCTTCTAAAGGTGGCAAATGTAATACTGGTCTCCTATGATGGGATAGTTTTTGACTTTAGACTTCCTGTCCTACTTTGTAAGTTTTGGCTTCTTACAATTATTAAAGATTTTAGCGGAAGCCACGCTCATATTTCTTAAGGAAAAATATTATACAGGTGTCAAATATTCTGTCACCTCTAAGTTAAAAAACACGCAGCGCTACTTTTGCCTTGACATAATTTTGGAAGTTGGTTTGAAGTAGATAAGGTCACCCTGTTCAGTTCATCAGGTGTGACTGGGTCCTTTATCTAATTTGTCCACAGAAGGTAAATGGGTCCCACACTGAGCCTGGTTCTGCCAGGAGTTGTTAAACTCCTGCCTGTTAAAAGATTTCCTCACCACCACTTCACTGTGCCTGTTCATGGTGGGTTGTTGTGGTTCTCTCTCTTACATTGTCTGGCTCTCAAGATTGATCACATACAGCGATGTTACAGGGTTGCTCTTTTCTTTTTTACTGACTTACTTTACTTGAACAACACTCCCTACATTATCAGAGACCCAGCTTTTAATTACTATTATATTAGGAAATCTGGCATAACCTCTTCCTATTGTACAAATTACTTATTCTGAGCTACTGGTAGATATTGCCAGTCAGGTGAATAACATTCCTGTACTGGTCTTTAAAAAATGGACTCACAGAAATGTTGTAGTGGGTTCAGCATACAAATGTTTTTCTTTTTGTAATAGATTCATACACTTAACTTGTGCAGTCAGGATATGCAGATATTTGAACACCGCTATAGATGTCTAATAAAGTAAGTATGTAGAAAATAGGGGTGGGATTTTAAAAATTGATTTTCTAATTCAAATCGATTTTAGTTTGAATAATGCAATATCGATTTTTAAATATAAATGTATTTTGCCAGAAACGCCAGAATCTCAGGTTAAACCTCACAAAACTATTTCAACAACCACCAAATGGCTAAAACAGCAATTGAGAGCAGGTAAACAGATGTAAACACAAAGCACAGCTCATTCATGTCTGCGGACATGCAGTGGGGTGCTGAAAGCTGACATCTCACACATTCAGAAGCTGCCAGTTTGAACCAGCAGCAAAAGAAGAGCAAAAGTACGCTTCATGTTTGAAAAACATTTTCACTGCTCTCTCACAGTGTGCTCAAGAGACCAGTTTACCATCAATAATCTCTGTTTTCTGCATTATTTGCTTGCTTTTTACGCACCAGTATACTGTTGATTGCACGCTGTCACCCGCCATTTTTTATTTTTTTTTCCCAAACCGACCTCCGATAAGAGAGCCTAATTTCTGCGGTTCAATACCAAAGAAATTTAAGCTTTTACAAAATATGCTTAGATTGCAAAACACTTGGCTATTTCTCTTATAAAACCTCTGTAACTTTGCTCTGATTTTCACTTCAGCAGCATTGGGTAATGTTCATATACTGACTTGTGGTTTTCTTCAGTTTTTTAACTACTGCAGAATCTTTTTAAGGGTTATCTGCTATAAAAGCCAGGCCAAGAAAATCTACTTTATTTTTTTCTGTGTTTTATCCTCAGTCACTTTGATAAAAAGGCATCTGCTGTGATGCTTGCACCTCTAAAGTCTTACAATTGTCAGCTTTGTTTTTATACATATATAAAAATATGGATATGTACTGATAAGTAATAAGAATTATAATATTTCTGACTGTCTGAGTCAAAATCAAATCAATTCAGTTATAGAAATCTGTGACGATATCCAGCTCTAATAGAAAATGAATGTTGTTTAATTTTACTAACCTGCAGATTGAATTAAATAGAGTTGAAAGATGTGAAAACATCCATAAATCTACTAGTGTGTTCCTTAAAGCCCATCTGAGTTTAACGTTGCTGTATGTCAGTCGGCATTACTAAAAACCAAAAAGGCAGCATACTTACCTGGAGCTGTTCCATGGCTTGACTGTTTGGCTGGAGTTAGGTGCAGTGGAGCTTCTTTGCCTTTCTTTGGTGGTCACTCTGTTCTTTGGCTTGGAGTCGATCTGTGAACTGTTTCTGGACCTACCTCTATATATGTGCCCTGTTCTTGGCTGGATTTCTGCTTGTGTGCATTGTTGATTGGGTTGTTCACCTCAAAGAGGCTGGGGTAGCTGTGTCTGTGTAGGGGGTGGGGAATATATTAGTTACTGTCATAATAGTTTGCGTACTGTCATTATAATTCAGCCTTGAGAGAGTCATTTTATTCATAAGGACATCAGCCTGTACCAGAAATTTCATGTAAGCAGGGAGAGGACGCTTGCTCACGACCACTTTGGCCTCGTGCTAATGGCTGCTTCTATGACTCATCAGCAATTAGACTACAGTATGAGAGAACAAAAAAGTGAAGTAACTTTTCTGTAAAGTTTTTGACCGTGATTCAGAAGTTCATTTTTAAATTGATTTCTAAATGTAAAATGCTCAGTAGAAAAAAAAAAAAGCAAAACAAGTCATTTATTAATTCAGTTCAGTTTTATTTATACAGCACCCAGTCACAACAACAGTCACCTCAAGGCACTTTATGTTGTAAGGTAGACCTTACACCATAAAGACCCCAAACTGGTGCAAGATATGCATGAGGGCAGATTGGTGATTACATCAGAGAAGTGCTCTGAGCCACTTCTTGTTTGCAGTGATGATGGACAGACTGACAGATGAGCTCAGACAGAAGTGTCTGTGGACTGTGATGTTTGCAAACACGTTGTGATCTGTAGTGAGAGTAGGGAGCAGGTGGACAAGATCTTGGAGAGTTTGGAGGTATGGTCTTGAAATTCCTATACAGTCTGGAGTGAAGACCATACCTCCAAACTCTCCAAGCCCATAGAAGAAAACGGAATGCAGGGTCGTGGAGGACATGCAGAGAGTTGGTGTGACAGAGGAGGATGCTAGAGATAGGATGAGATGGGATCTCCATAAAAGGAGCAGCAAAATGAAGGTGTAGGTGTTGACCTGTCAATTAAAATTCATCTGCTGTTTGAGCTGTTAAATTTGTATTAAGGCTTCTGGTTTTTTAACATGAACATTGAAATGTTTTGAATGACCTTATCTGTTTGTAATTATAATAAGATAACCGTGTAGCCTTTTTCATGCCTAATTTGCTCTCCTTTTTCTTTAGGAAACTGTACAAGTCGCAAGGGGCTCAATGGCGCATGCTCAGTGCACGAATACACCGGCATTTTCCAGGGCCAAACTGTACACTTTAAGATGACTTCTGTTTGTGGGCATGTGATGAGTCTCGATTTTATTGGTGGGTATCCTCCATGTTAGGTCTTGCTCAGCCTTGATCTAAATTTTCACTGTTTTTTTTTTTCACCTCCTAATTTTACATGGGAGGAGTAATTAAAACAGATTATTAGGGACAGTTTTATAAAATAATACAGTTCAAAACGCCACAACTTATTGGTGTCAGATGATGAAGGGGTTATTTTCTGTGAAGCACCATTGTATAAAAAAAAAGTGTCAGTCATTGTATTGTAGTACACTGCAGTGATCAAGTGATATGAACTGTATGGCTGATATCGGTCCACAGCAATAGTGTAGTGAATGTGAAGGATGTTGCACTTTTTCTTTATTTTCCAGGGAAATATAACAACTGGGACAAAGTAGACCCTGCAGAACTCTTTAGTAAAGCTCCTACTGAAAAGAAGGAGGCCAACCCTAAACTCAATATGGTCAAGTTTCTTCAGGTAGGTTGACCCATTAATTGGCTTTACAATACATCGGTACTAGTTGTTATGTGATTTCTTATTTTAATCAGATTAGAGTCTGGACTTTGATTAGTCACTCCAAAACCTATTTGGCTTTTTTTTTTTTAGCTGTTCAGATGTAGACTTGCTGGTGTATTATTATGTTATCGATCTTGATGTAGTGTCTTTCCCTAATGTAAAGTGCCTTGAATGGTTTTGGATCATTGTCCTGCGGAATAACCCAACTGAGCAATACTTTTGAAGTTTTGGAGTTGGAGTTCAGTTGTAGGTTTTTTTCTATGTGTGGATAATAGCTCTCACCGTGGTTCACTTGAGTCCCAGAGCCTGAGAAATGACTTTGTTTCTGGGTGCCACAATACAAAAAAACCCATTATGTGTTGCTTTTTGAGATCTTTTAGCCTACTTGGTTTTATTTAAAAGATCTCTTGATTCAGTAGATCTGGCACTAATCAGGCTATCTGGCTAATCAAATTAAACTCAGCTTTCCAAAATGTAGTTAATCACATTTAATTCACTATCAACAAAGGGGCCAGGTATATTTGATAGATTTTGTTCCCTTAATAAATGAAATCATCATTTTAAAACTGCACTTTGTATTTATTTCAGGTTTTCTCTTTCTAATATAATTCTTTTGAAGATTTGAAACGTGTCACAGTTGCACAGCATACTAACAAATTTGGGAGGGTGCAAATATGTTTTCACTGCACTGCATTGTTAACCGTAAGTTTGTGGTATCATGTCAGGTTGAAGCCAGAGGCAGTGACTGTGTGGTTTTGTGGTTGGACTGTGACAAAGAAGGAGAGAACATATGTTTCGAGGTAATGCTGGTCACCACATCTGTTTCTTATTAGTACTCTCTATTAACATAAGGCTTTCAAACTTTTTGATAAAACTTATAGTTGTAGCTGTATCAGATGGCCTACAGTCATCCTTTAGTGACCTGGTACATGCTCAAGCTGCTGTCATTTAATTTTGTGTGCTCTTTCTAGTTTTGTCCTGTTCGTGTTCTTGATCTTTTTGTGCTGTTTGTTTCTGTGTTCTGCCTCACCTGTAATTCTCTTCAAGGTGCTGGATGCCATTCAGCCAGTGATGAATAAGGGAAGTGCCAGGAGTGTTTACCGTGCCAAATTCAGCTCCATTACTGACACTGACATCTGGAATGCTATGAACCGCCTTGGAGAGCCCAATCACAATGAAGCTCTGTCAGTAGATGCACGGCAAGAGCTGGATCTGCGTATTGGCTGTGCCTTCACCCGGTACACTGCTCTCTTCACCCGCACACAGCTGTCTACTGATGTAGAAGGTTTCAAAATTACAATTCAAATAAATACCCTGGTGATACTGGAGCCTTATTGTCTCATCTCTCTATATACTGTACTGTATGTAGCAGAGATGACAATAAAGTTTACTTTGACTTTGACTTTGATTTCTCACGTAAGCTCAGAATTGTGTGATTAATCAAGCAGAAGAGGAAGGTTAGTTAAATACCACACTTTCAAACTGCACTAATTTAAAAAAAAAAAAAAAAGGGGGTCCCAAACTCAAAATGCCACAGAGCACTGTTTTTGTGTGATTTCACCTCCATCCAAAGCTTAGTTCATCTGGTCAGAGGTTTATGAAATTCCAGAATCTTTGAAAACATGGTTGATTACAGCTGATCAAAGATATTTATACTGTTCATTTAAGGTTTTTTTCTTGACTAAACTAATTTTCAGGTTCCAAACAAAGTATTTTCAAGGGAAATATGGCAATCTAGACTCTTCGTTAATCTCCTTTGGTCCGTGCCAGACCCCAACACTTGGCTTCTGTGTGGAACGCCATGACAAGATCCAGTCCTTTAAACCAGAGACTTACTGGGTCATCCAGGCAAAGGTAAACCATGACCTCAGTTTCCTGCCACACTGTCAAAGATTCCTTTCTGCTGTGCGGTATTGACAGAAATGATGTGCTTTGTTCAGGTTTTTAAAGGAAAGGAGAGTCCACTGACACTGGACTGGAACAGAGTTAGGGTCTTTGACAGAGAGGTGGGTCAAATGTTTGTCAACCTGGCGAAAACATCCAGGGATGCGCAGGTGAGTGCAAAAACCAGACTTTGTGGTTTGTAGATAATATTTTTTTATTGTACATGTGCTGTCTGACATTATGAAGGTCATGATTATTATTCCGTTTCCTGTTTCACCAAATATTAAATTAACTACAAAGACAAACGTCTGCTTTATAAAACATTTTCCAGTCAATCTGAATTATAATAAATTTAGGTCAGCTTGCTTAAGCAGGTGTCTGCTCTCTCTCACAGGTGGAGTTGGTGAGTAAGAAGGAGAAGACCAAGCAGAGGCCTCAAGCCTTAAACACAGTGGAGATGTTGAGAGTGGCTAGTTCTGCCTTAGGTATTTACATATGTATATTTACATTTACAGCTATTTATATTTACTTTTTCATGAGCTGTCATTTCTCCTGAGCATACAAATACACTGAGGGGATGGGGTTGTGGTTTTTCATGAGTCATGGATAGGAAAAACAATAGTTTTTTTTTCTTGTTTTGGTTTGTTTAATCTTTATGAAGTTTGAACTAAGAATGTTAAGCTTGATTAGATGAAACTGACTCAAATATAATTGAACACGTTTGGTTCCCTGGTGATTCTAAATTGATACATGTGTTGATGCAGGATGTGTTTTATGGATATGTGGTGTAGTGTAAAGTATTTTGAGTGATCGGAATAGGATATCCTTGGTGTATCTACTAGGAGGCTGAGGGGTATCCACTATTTTTAGCTACTGTGTTACGCACCGTGAGTTAAATTGTAATCCAATGTGCTTTATAAATAAAACTGTTATTGCCAATCGCCGCTTTACACAGCGTCCCAACTTCTTCGGAATTCGGGTTGTGAATATGGCTGCTATAACACTGACAGTTGTTCTGATCTTTGATTATTATGTTTGCAAAAATAAAATGATACTGTCTTTATATTTGATCCTTGTACTTTTAATATTGTTTCAATGAAAGGTAAGGGTCATGTACTGGAAAACCCACCTTACACTTTATCCTTTGCGATCGAGAGGAACAGTCACTTACTGGAGAGTATCTTCTGTTCTATTCTTACCTTATATCTAAACTTATCATAAAAAGTCTTTTGAATGGAATTTATATTCACAGGAATGGACTCAGGTTTTCTATTGTTTTAATGTTTAATGAGTTTGACCATCACACCCATTACTTATGTGACATAAGATATCTCAATGCATTTCTCTGTTAGATGATGTATTTCTTTGTACTTATTATATGTGGCATGAAAGACTGCTGGGTGTGCCCTTGTGGCAGCACAGGTGAATGAGTCTGTTAGAGAAGATGCTCCACTGCCTGTCCAGTAAATGGTGCAGATGGTGATCTGGGTTATACATAGATGGATAAGAGTTTGTTTAGTGACAGCCTCTATGCCATAGTTTCAAGTGTGTCCAGTTTGCAGCCAATCACATCCAGCCTTCCTCATCGGTGTACTCTGTCTGCTGGAAGAAAAAATGTGAAAGAATTAAAGAGAAAAAGGATGTGATAAAGGATGTGATATTATGTTTCAGGCATGGGTCCCCAGCATACTATGCAGATTGCTGAGCGCCTATATACACAGGGCTACATCAGCTACCCACGTACCGAGACGACCCACTACCCAGCAAACTTCGACCTGAAGGGAACACTGAAGCAGCAGACCAACAACCCCTTCTGGGTAGAAGAGGTGAGTACATTCATTCAAGGCTGCTCATATGTGTATACATAAAGTGATTCATTCAATTCAGTTCAATTCAATTCTATTCACACAACCCCAAATCGCAACAACAGTCACATCAAGGCAATCCTACAGTAGTACAAAGAAAGAGCCACTTAGAAATTAATGTGATTGAAAATGATAAAAGGTTTTTTTTAATTTTTCATCAGGTAAAAGCTCTGCTTTCAACTGGAATAAACCAACCCAGGAAGGGCACTGATGCTGGAGATCATCCACCTATTACTCCCATGTGTGCTGCCACGGAAGCAGAACTAGGTGAGCAATACAGGCAAATAACTGAACAATATCACCTCTTTTTATGATACACCTCTATTTATATAGGGCATGCCTTCAAGGAGCAATGAGCAATATTGTAGACATATTTTCTGTTAGTCAATCTAGGAAATGTTAGGTTAATAAAGAGTTTGAATATTCAAAGCCCTATATATAACATGTTAGGATGTCTGATGGTTATTATAGTTAAAATATTATTATAGTTAAAATAAAAAATATCCTTTGTTGTGGAATTTGTGAATTTGGTTTAAAAAAGCAATTTGTCACAAATTAATGATGGTTTGGGCATTTTTATTGAGGCGAGTCAACAGATTTCAAAAGCAACCTGTGCACAAAGCTTGTCATCATTTAGAAGCATTAGGTGCTCTAAAATCTCACAAATGATAGTAGTTGAAAACTTCACACAGTTGGCTGTAGTTCAGTTGATAGAGCAGATCACTTGCTAATCTTAAGTTTGGTGGTTTGACCCAGTCTGCATGCCCCAAGTTGCTCTCTGATGCATCTGACAGAGTATGAATGTGTGCATGTTTTGATAGAAAGCACTTAAAGAGTAGAAGAAAGTGCTTGTTTGAGTGGGTGAAATGTTGTATAAAAATGGCTTTGAATGCTCTGGGGGAGTGCTATATGTAAGAATCAGTCCATTTAACTTGAACTCTTAAATTCTCTCTAGCACAGGGGTGGGCAATTAATTTTCCCACAGGGCCACTGCATGACTAACTGGTAGATGGTAGCACCAATAAGATGAACTCAGTTCTTTTTACAAACTGTTACTATTAAGATTAGATGTTACAAATATTCAACAAAAATGAGCAACAGGCATAGTAAAATCAATAACTGTGTGAAAAAATGTCCTGAAAGTGGGTCAGCTATCCTTTAAAAAATTAATTAATTAAACAGGAATTTTTATTTTCAATATATACATACACACTATTCCCTACCTGCTAGCATATTAGACCCTGCTGTTATGTGATTGTCTCAGAGGCATCTTTGCACAGCCTGCACCTGGCATCTTGCTTGCTGTGGTAGACCCCAGCCTCTATCGACTTCGTGCTTCACTTTTAAGTTGTGCTGTATTGTGTACTGTGCTGCCACCATTAGTGCCTCTGTGTTTCAGTTTAGCTTTCTCCAGGTGTCAGTAGGATTTTTCAATATCAGCCACTTCTTCTGTCTGCCAGTGGTACATACCATGCAGGGGCCTGTCCGTCGATAATGGTTTCACTTCTTGCTCCTCTTCGTTCATTAGTCACCTCCTCTCCATGAATGCCTCCATCGATGCCAGGTGTGAATGACACATTGTCTTATTGACAATGGTCACAGCTGATCATGTGCTTGGTGAATACCACAGACAGCAGAAACCCAAGAATGAAGGGGAGCAATAAGAGAAACCATTATTGAAGGACAGGCCCCAGCGTGGCAGACAGAAGAAGCCAGTCTTGTTAATGATCTGGCTGAGGGGGTTCAAGGTTATGCAGAACAACAGTGGGGACAAGGCACCTCCTTGGTACATCCCGGACTTGGTGGTGACTTGTGCTATTGATTTGAAGTTGTCCCTGTTGAATCGCTGATGAATCTTAGGGTCCTGTTGATCTTGTATATTTCTAGGCATTCCAAGATCCATGTGGAAGGCACTGAGTCATAGGCTTTCTTGTAGTCAATCCAGGTAGTGCACAGGTTGGTCAGTCTGGTCTTACAGTCTCAGGCAACTGCTCTTTCTACCAGGAGCTGGTGTTTTGCCCCTCTGGTGTTTCCTTTCTGTGTCCTACTCACGTACTGAGCCATGTGCCTTTTCATCTTAGCCACCATGATGCTTGACAGGAGCTTCCATGTGGTACTGAAACAGGTATATTAAAGGACTCGTCCCATCCCAGTAACAAACTGTTTCAACTTCTGCAATGAGGCAGAAGGTTCCGCACCATGGGGGCAAAAATCACGAGACTCTAGTAGCTTCTGTCCTCTGGTCCTAAATCAGAATGTGCCCCCACTCCCCTCACAGTATCCATAAGTGACTGAAACAGGACCTTATATTGTATTCTTGTCACAGAACTTTCATGGTCATATTTCATATCGTATCTGATTCATTTTTATGTTACATGCTGCTAGACTGATCATGCTGCTTCACTACTGTGTATACTACTCTGGTCACTTGTTTTAATTGCACTGCTCTGTCAATACATTACTGTGCTAATATGGCACAAGACACACTATTCTAAAAAGTATTTGAAATTGAATAACCCAACATCTAACAGTGTGAAGTTATTACACTGTAGAATATTAGAATAGTACATCAATAACTATGTATACCCAAATGTGTTCTTTTCTTCCCACAGGAAGTGATGGCTGGCGGCTATATGAGTACATTACCCGGCATTTTATTGCCACTGTAAGTCAAGACTGCAAGTACCTACAAACCACTATAGAGTTCAGCATTGGCACAGAGGCTTTCTCATGTAGTGGAAGAACCCTTATATCACCAGGTAAACATAGATGATTGTTTTGCAGAATTTTGCAGTACTTACCTGCAGTAAACCATTGCATTGTATTAACATCATTGTTTGCTTAGTGTATGGAGTAATTGCTTGTGACTATGTAGCTGTCAAAGGTGCCTTATGACATCATAAACTTTGCTTATAGCCAGACTCTGTGATTGTATGCCCTTTTGGTGTAGACAAGATACAGACCACATGGTGGCACTATTCAGATGGAGTTTTTAGGATTTGACACCTGTCTATATTTTGTGGTTCTTCATAACTATTTTAGAATACAGCTGCAAATAATGTCAGCAGTGAGTCCTTAATCAGCTTTCTGAGTCCGTGAACGATGGCCTGACATTGTGCTTTAGAGCTGCTTGATTAAGAATTTACTGCTTCATTAAACATAGTCTCACCCATACTTCTTACCCAGATGCAGGAAAACAGGCCCAAACTGCAACAGTATTTCCCTTTCTTCCAACAAAAATTTTATCATTTAAACGTGCAGTCATGTGGAAGAAAAATTTACATGAGTCTATGCATCTCAGGCTTGAGTGTTCTTTTTGCAGAGCAGTACTTTGTTCCCCCATAGTCTAGTCGCTTTGCTGATATGATGAGTGACAAGAATCCTGCAGAAATGTTTTTTGTTAATGTTGTGTACACTTCCTTTAAACATGTCTTGGGAAGATCAAACCTTAATAGATCTTTACATTAAGAAAGGATCTATTTGTCTACTCCTCTGACTTGTATAACAATCAGATTATGGCTTAGATCTTCAGTGCAGAGTAGGGCTGGCAATATGGCCTAAAATCCATATCGCGGTATAATTTGAAGCATGTGCGGTAACGATATATATCGCGATATATTCTTTTCTTCTGTATAACGTATTTTCCACACTTTAAGGCACCAGAGATGGGCAGTAACACGTAACACGTTACTGTAATCTGATTACTTTTTTCAAGTAACGAGTAAAGTAAGGGATTACTATTGCAAAAACGGTAATTAGATTACCGTTACTTCCCTGTAGGAACACTGCGTTACTTAAACCGTGATTTTTTTATTTATTTTTTTGCGAGAATGTCTCATGACAATGACGTAAGCGAGTGCGACGTTCGTGACAACAGCTGTGTGCAGATCAACAATGGATAATATATCGAGTGCGGGAGAGAGTATGAGCATGCAGCATTTAAAGCGTGGAAGTACTGACCTTATTTTGAGTTTGATTCCATAAAAAGTGACAAAAACATTTGCGTCCATTGTGCGTGGGAAGAAAACTTCTTTTTACAGCAAAAAAAACCCCTAAACAAGCACCGAGTGTGCAACGACGTAATGGGAAATTCACAGAGAAACTCGCGGATTCTTCAACTGACCACTGCGGCACACCTGCACCAGGGCAAACCTCCGCCAACCCCACTCCTGCTTTACAGGTGAAAATAGAGCAAAAGGACCGCTGAGTCTTTGATTTTATTTATTTTCTGCTGTGTTTTACTTGCATCTATTTGAAAGTGTAAACACAAAAAAATGTTGTCTGTGAAGGTTCTCAGTCATCCAGGTCATCGTAGTCAAAGGAGCTTGCAAAGAAAAGCGTCTGGACTTCTTTAAGTTGCGAGAAGCTAAAATCCTCTTTCGAGGATGCCAATGTTCACATTTTGGACAGAGAGGACAGATGGTTTGAAAGAGGAGTGAAAGAAGCCATCTATGTCCACTGTGAGCGACCATCTTTGAACAGAGGCGGGGGTTTACGACACCAACTCTCTGCCATCTATAATCCAGTTTTGAGATCCCTTCCCAGACGCCTTAACGCCCACTTACATCCTGGGCCAGCTGACCTCAGGAATTCGCATGATAAGATGGGGCCAGGTTTCACAATGAGCTCACCCGAAACTCTGGCTGATTGGGACTAGAGATGGCACAATACCACTTTTTTATGTCCGATACCGATATCATAAATTTGGATATCTGCCGATACCGATATGAATCCGATATAGTGTTTTTTTAATCAACAAAACTGTTTTTTAAATATCTTGCTGCATTTTGTATAAGTTCATACTCAAGTTTAAAACAACAACTACACCAAAGCTATTCTGTTATACCTGTATGCAAAAAAAAAAAATTCATAGTTCAGCAATACTGATCAATCTAATAAACTTAAACCTACACCATCCTCCCTATTCTGGTATTTTAAAGAGTACTTAGCATAAATATTAAGCAACCTAACTAATAGGGTTCCAACTCCCAGCAACAACAAAAATAAATAAATAAAAAATAGGGAACCACCCCTCACGCTCCACCTCATGATGCTTAATCGACGTAATCAACCTTAATTTGATGCAGTGTGAAAAAAAATACACAGAAATCAATTCTTTTTCAAGAAATATTAAATAGATTCAACATCTTTCTTCAACAAAATTGCAGACTGCACAGATGGTACCTTCCCAAAGGAAAAAGTACTATAGCTTACTAGGGTATATTAGACTTAACAGTTACTATATACAAGAATGGACTTCTATACATTTTACATCAGATTAAAACTTTGGGTGTAAGATTCAGATAAATATTAAATAATTAAAAGCTCGACATTTTAAATGAGAATAAGAAAGAAAAGTATGTCTTTGTGCCCCCTTTTCCCTGTTAATGCCCTATCGGCCCCCCTGGCTAAACTTTGCTAGATCCGCCCCTGCACAGTTACCAGCGTCAGCTGTAGAAAAAGATCCTGGAGTAGAAAGTAATAATAAATAAATTCTAACAACAGCTGATCAAGCTTAAACGTGCTGCTGTTGTTTAGTCGCTGGTTTCCTCTGTCTGGTGCAAAGTGGGCCAAAAGCAAACAAGAGACAAACAAGAGTCGCGACAGAAAAGCCGATCAGCTGATCATTAAGCAGTTTCATGATTGAAGTAGCAGCCGGAGAGCGAGAGGCAGTCGCTCGTTAAGCTTAACGCAGGAATGCTTTACAGACATTCAGAGATGGACTTACACACTTGCTTTACTTCTCTCGGGGATAACTTTGTCGGAGATGAAATGCCGGGTTGCTAGCGAAGCTCCAAATGCTATCCAGACCACCGACAGGTCCCGCATGCCACAGCCGCTCTATCACGTGATGCATACTGCTCCGACGTGCTAACGTTCTGAGGTGAGTTACAGCGTGTTGCAAGTTTTGTGAGGTGCTTTCGTGATATTTAATGGATCGGATTACATTTTTTATTTTTCTCCGATATCCGATCCAGTAATTTAGGTCAGTATCGGACCGATACCGATACGTAATATCGGATCGGTCCATCTCTAATTGGGACCCACGCCCAGTTTCACACCTTGGCTCAGGCGATTAGAGGATCATCAGGGGGTCCTTTTCTCCCTCTGTGGGGGGGGGGGTTACTCCCACTAGGTTTATATCTGGGACTCTCCACCATTTGACCTTAGAACTGAAGAAGCTTCTCGGATGAGAGGTGAAACATCTTCAAGCAACTTAAAGAAGTCCAGACACTTTTCTTTGCAAGCTCCTTTGACAAAAAATTTTTATTTTATGTGCTGGAATGTGCAGAAAATAGGTTTAAATGTTAAACTAATTTCTTCAAGTCAGAGAATGGTGCATATAATTAAATTTTTCGCTTGATGCATAAAGTTAAAAGATTAAAACTGATAAAAACAAGTTTAAAAAAAAGAGACTTTTCCATTTGATTACATTTTGTATGATGGATTATGCAGAAAAAGTAGAATTGGGCTGAAAGATCTATCGCTTTATCACCTATTCAGGTTGTAAATCGGGTTTTTAAAAAGTGACTAAGTAATTAATTACTTTTGAAAATAAGTAATCAGTAAAGTAACGGGATTACTTTTTGGGGAAGTAATCAGTAATTAGTTACTGATTACTTTTTTCAAGTAACTTGACCAACACTGTAAGGCACACTTAAAATCCTTTAATTTTCTCAAAAATTGAGAGTGTGCCTTATGTATGAATTCTGGTTGTGCTTACTGACCTCGAATCGATTTTGGCGTGCAGAAATCTGTTAAAAAATGTTTTAGTACAACTTTGGTAAGCCGCATTGCTTGATGGATTGTCAGAGCATTACGGCTGCCGTAGTGAGGAGCTTCGCGGAGTAATCTGGGTCCAAAACTCCGTCTCTTCAGGTCCCTAAGTCAAACGAACACTGAGAGTTAAACACGGTCTAAATTCTTTAATCTTTAATAAAATCATCAGCGTTGCTGCTTTACCAGGTGTAACAATTAAGTTTAACATCCATGCATCCATGAAAACAGAATTTATTAAATTTAACGGAGTTAGAAGTTAACAGGAAGTTAGCTCGCTAGTTTACAGCTAAACATAACATACCATGTTCTGACTGAGAGACTTTTGAAACTAGTTAAAACGTACAGCTCTGCTACCACTTCCGACATAAATGAAGACAGAAAACTAAACAGCAAGGGCGTTTGCAGGGTTACTGAAGTTGGACTGCCTGGTATATAATGTTGTGCTACGTGATTGCTAGTGACACAGCTATATTAGCATAATATTAGCACAGTGAAGCTGGAGGATGAACGCCAACTTTTTTTCCCACGTTAACATTTATTAACTTTTTTTCCTACTCAATAAATGTTAACGTGACGGATTCTGGTGGTCAGGGACAAATGCAATCGCATAGCAGGATGCTATACATGGGGCAAACTTCAGTCAGGAGAAGAACTGAGATTATTTATCCACAATACAAGGTTAGTTATTAATATACTGCAACAATATGGGAATAAAACAGCTGCGAGAGAATTCAACATTAATGAATCAATGTTACGGAAGTGGAGGAAGCACAGTTTTTAGCTTTCCCCATATTTCAAAAAGTGCTTCATCTCTTTGCTATGACTGTCCCCCGGCATAATTTGTAGATGATAGTGGTTGCTACAACTACTGTTTTGGTCGGAAGCATCGCAGCTGTAGCAGCTTGATGACATCATCATCATGCGCTATCGCGGTACCGATATCGTTGGCCAAATTTATATCGTTTCTATCGTATATCGTTTATATCACCCACCCGTAGTGAAGAGATTTGTGAACATTAAAGAATTACCACGCCTGCAGCAAGCTAATCCTTGCTAAATGTGCATTTTGTTTTCAGGTTACACAACTGTAATGCCATGGCAGGGCATCCCTCTGGAAGAGTCCATACCAGTATGTGAGCGTGGAGACACTTTCTCAGTAGATGAGATCAAGCTGATAGAAAAGCAAACCAGCCCACCAGACTACCTGACTGAGGCTGAACTCATCACCCTCATGGAGAAACATGGCATTGGTATACTTAAATACTTTTTAAATAATTTAAGCAACAAGCTGGAATTCAAGTATCTCGGGGTCTTGTTCGCGAGTGATGGGAGAAGGGAGCCGGAGATCGACAGACAGATTGGGGCTGCAGCTGCAGTAATGCGGACGCTGCACCGGTCCGTCGTGGTGAAGAGGGAGCTGAGTATAAAAGCGAAGCTCTCAATTTACCGGTCGATCTACGTCCCTACCCTCACCTATGGCCACAAGCTGTGGGTAGTGACCGAAAGAACGAGATTGCGGATACAAGCGGCAGAAATGAGCTTCCTCCGAAGGGTGGCTGGCCTCTCCCTTAGAGATAGGGTGAGAAGTTCGGCCATCCGGGAGGGGCTCAGAGTAGAGCAGCTGCTGCTCCACATCGAAAGGAGCCAGCTGAGGTGGTTCGGGCATCTGACAAGGATGCCCCTGGGCGCCTCCTGGGTGAGGTGTTCCAGGCATGTCCCACCGGGAGGAGGCCCCGGGGCAGACCCAGGACACGCTGGAGAGATTATATCTCTCGGCTGGCCTGGGAACGCTTTGGTATTCCCCCGGACAAGCTGGAGGAGGTGGCCGGGGAGAGGGAGGTCTGGCCCTCTTTGCTTAGGCTGCTGCCCCCGCGACCCGGCCCCAGACAAAGCGGATGAAGATGGATGGATGGATGGATGGATGGATGGAAGCAACAAGCTGCCTGTGCACATTGCTTAATTTAAACTCAGCTGTTCGCTTAGATGGAAAGCTGGTCTGTGTCCAGGAAATGGACCTGCTGTGGGTTATCACTTCATGTCTGGTCATATTTTAATTGTGTGGTATTTGGGAAGCAAGGCAGAAACGGATTGCAGATGCCAGTCACCCAGTCTGTCATCTCTATTGCATGGATGATTCATTAATCTTTCTGCTCATGTTTATTATATCTTTGAGGACAACCTTTGAGGACTTAATGCATGACAGCAGTTCTTTGGCTGTAAATTCTGAAAACAGTCTTATAGATGTTGGTCTTTGTCCTCCCCCCAGGAACTGATGCTAGTATCCCAGTCCACATCAATAACATCTGCCAGAGGAACTATGTGACAGTTGAGAATGGACGCAAGCTGAAACCAACCAACTTAGGCATAGTCCTGGTACATGGCTACTACAAGATAGGTCATTTGCTTAAGTTACCTTTGTATTCTCTTACTCTTGTAATGAATTTGTGCTTGGTCAGTAGTGGAGGGTTTCTGGAACATAACTGATTTATCTTTGGATGCTATGGCAACTAATGCAGGTACTTGAATATAACCAAATACCTGCAGGATATAGGACCAGACAGAGTGGTTTATAGAGCTAATAAAATACAAGATTATTATTAATGCAAATTTAATTGTGTTTTTCTCAGATGCAGAACTGGTGCTTCCCACTATACGCAGTGCTGTAGAAAAGCAGCTTAACCTTATTGCGCAGGGTAAGGCCAACTACCATCAGGTCCTACAGCACGCCCTGGATATCTTCAAGAGGAAGTTTCACTACTTTGTTGACTCCATTACCAGTAAGTCCAGTGAAACCACAGGAACGCAGTGTCACAAGTTCCTTAAAGGGATTATTGATTATTATTATTGGGATTATTATTGGTAGCTGTGGCTCAGAACAGGTTGTTTGCTAATCTGAGGAAATGGTGAAGTGGCTAGTGACCTCACATTGAATCTTTGAGTAAGAAAACTGTGCCATTAAAACTGTTTTAAGTCAGATGGAAAAGATCTCAGAGCTTTAAACAGGCTGGTTTCTGCTAAATGGGTCGAACATGGCAGGGACTGGGTAACAGTGCTGTAATTACAGTTTTACATCAACAAGAAACATGTGACCTGTGAATGCAGAGGAGACATATTATTAAAGCACACTGCAGGTTCCAGTTTCTTGTATGCAGCTGAAGCTCAGACTTTGTGTGTTATTTTTTCCAGACATGGATGAGTTGATGGAGGTCTCCTTTTCTCCCATTGCTGCTACTGGTAAGCCGCTGTCCCGCTGTGGCAAATGCCACCGCTTCATGAAGTATATCCAGGTGAGCAGTCAAAGCCACTAAACCCCGTCTGAAGCATTTGAAGACAGATTGAATTATCAAGACTGTTGGAGCATGATTGTAAAAGAAAATCCTAACACTATAGTGCTCAAGATCTGTAGATGTAAAATGCAAAAATTTCTCTGCAGTTCAAATTCTTTCAACATGATTCACAGCCTAAAATATTATTGTCTGGGTTTAAGGACAAGGACTTTGGAAATTCTGCCTTTTTTGATATATTGTGGCATTTTTGAATCATCTAAGAAATTAACCATTGCAATTCTAAATCACAGCCACATGGCTGGGATTTAGACACGTGAGTTTACCCTCTGTGCTTTTGTCATTTAAAGTAATAAATGACCATTTATTTATCCTGTGTGGACCACTCACTGTGGCCTTGAGAATTAAGCTCATGTGCTTCCTTTATTACCATCTCTGTCCGATGATGGAAGGACTTTTAAGTTCATGAATGAATCATGAAGCTGCAGTTCTGCTAATTATCACTATATGAGATATATGAGCAATGTACCAACACAGTGGTCTTCATTAGCTTTTTTTCTCCAGGAACGAGCAAGTGAACAAAATTTGGTTTTTGTATTTTTGTCTTCTTTGGAGTTTAGAAAATGCCTTTAGTGTGTCTTTTACTTTTACTGTTGGGGGAAAAAACACACATCAGGACACATTGGTATAATTCTATTTTTCATAGGGCAGTAAACATGGTGCACAACAGTTAAGCAGCTTTTATACTGAAACGTATGATCAATGTTATCATTGTGCACTGCACAGAGGCTGCTGCTTTGTGTTGATGGTGTTATTTCTTACACACTAGAGTCATTCAATACTTGATCTGTATGTTCCACACAAGACTGAAGAGGACTCATATACATATATATATATATATATATATATATATATATATATATATATATATATATATATATATATATATATATATATATATATATATATATATATATAATATATATATATATATATATATATATGAATGAGGATCGCAAGTTCGATTCCTGCCTGGGGCGTCTGTATCCAGTAAGGGTCCTAAGGCTAGACCCCCTATGCTAAGCAAGCCTACCGCAGACATGAGCGAGACAGATAAATATGAAGGCATGCCGGCTCGGACGTCGCCCGGATCAACAAGGTCCGCGTCAGGTGTTGAGGAACCAGGGCACCCTGACGAAAAGTGGGCTACTGGAACAAGAAGGCATCGGTGGGCAAGAGACGAAAACAGGGCGTTGTTGGAATGCTACTACGCAAGTAACCCCGGCGGAAGGGGCTACATGAATAGGAGCACTAGGTGCGGTGACTCCCAAGCTAGGCGAGTGGCTCCAGCAGATCCCGGGAATAACATCGGAGATCTCTGTCCAGAAGAGCGCAGTCCTGGGAACAGCTAAGATACTGCGCAAGACCCTCAAGCTCCCAGGCCTCTGGTAGAGGACCCGAGCTTGAAGGATAAACCGCCCGCAGGGGCGTGCTGGGTGTTTTTTTTTATTTTTTTTTTATATATATATATAATATAGCTTGAAGCGGCGAAGACATAGATGTGTGTTTTCAGACTTGGTGATGATATTGATCTGAAGTGGCCTTTAGCCACTTTATGGTAAAATGTGTAACTGCCCATGAGTGGCAGTGAGTGATTCTTAAATGAAATGAAGCAAACATGTGCATGCAGGCCAAGCCCAGCAGACTCCACTGCTCTCACTGTGACGAGACCTATAGTCTTCCCCAGAATGGAGCCATCAAGCTTTACAAGGAGCTCCGGTGTCCACTGGATGACTTTGAGCTTGTGCTTTGGACTTCAGGGGCGCGGGGAAAGAGCTACCCCCTGTGCCCCTACTGCTTCAGCAACCCGCCATTCAGGGACATGAAGAAAGGTAAGGCAGAATGGGAATGTTATGTTAACCACTGCCCACCAACTATAGTTAACTAGCATGAGCCTTGAAACCCTCTAAGAATCAAACTAATCCGTAATATAATTTTCTGGTACTGGACTGATTCTTTTATATAACGCTTTTCTACTCTCCTGGAGCACTCACAGAGCTTTATACAACATGCCACATACACCTATTCACACAAGCACTTCTATACTTCTATACATTAAGTGCTTCCTAGGTAACATTCATGCAGCATCGGAGAGCAACTTGGGGTTAGTATCTTGTCCAAGGATATTTGGCAGGCAGACTGGGGGAGCCAGGGATCAAACCACCATCCTTCCGATCAGTGGAAGACCTGACCTGAGCTACATTCAACCTGAAAATCATTTAATCAAGATGGACAATGCTCAACTTTAAACAATTCAAAAATACAGAGTTGCTTCTTTCTTTTAACACTAAAAGGTTAGCATGGTCAATCAGGTATGGTCAAAAAAGCCGAGAAAGACGGGGCATCAGGGAGCCACAGTGAAGGTTAGGGAACTAAGAACCAGATGTTGTAGAGAACTGGTTCCCATTATTTCAGTCTGCTTGCCCATTGATTCTGCTTATCAATTATACTTCCACTTGCATTTGCGCTGAAATCAACTGAGCTCTGAAAGTTTTTTAATAGTATTTTTTAAACCTTTGTTCACGGTATTTACACATTCACCTAAAAATGCAAGAGCTTATCGGTTCGATCCTGGGGGTGTTAGGAAGGGCATCCATGTTAAAAATGTGGCAAATAAAACATGCAGAGCCACCTGCTGTGGCAGCCCCTTGTGAGCAGCGGAAAGTAGTTTGTAAGAGTGTTTCATTTCGCAGAAATACCTTTTTGAAGATGGAGGTCCAGAGTAGGGCTGGGCCATATCATACTGTTCACGGTAATACCTGTATACTGTTGGGCAACGATAAGGAAATGAAATATCGCGATAGAATATGGGTAAAACGTGCATGCGCAGTACCTTTGTTTTCATACGCACATGGCGGGAAAAGCATGGCGGTGACAGAGAATGAGAAGGGCGAAAGCGGATCGTTGAATGAAACGGATGAACCAGAATTGGTTTGTAAAAATGCTGCAACTCCAGTGGTGTGGAAATGGTTAAGCTTTTGTCAGATACACGACAAAGCACTATTTTTGGTAGAGCATGCTAGCGGGCCGTTGTTATTCCCGTGGGTTTGTTTTTTTTTAGAAAATACGGCACACTTAAAATTAATCCTTTGATTTTTCTGAAAATCAATAGTGCCCCTTATAATCCCGTGTGCCTTATGTATGAATTCTGGTTGTGTTTACTGACCTCGAAACGATTGTATGTGGTACACGGCGCTCGAAAATCTGTCAAATGTTTTAGCACGACTTTGCTAAGCTACGAAGCCGCACCGCTTGATGGATTGTAGGAGTATTACGGCTACTGTGGTCAGGAGCCTCACGGAGTGATACGTAGTGTGCTTCAACATAATACTACCGGATTGTGTGTGTATAACCTCTTTTTAAGTTTTGTGGATATTATATATGGTTATGCTGAGGATTTGTCGGCCAATTTCCACTGAAAATGCCTTTAACTTTAATGCACATAAAAAGCAGCTGCTTGTTTAAGTGAAAATACATTGATGGTTTGTTTGGGTTTTTTTGCACTAATAAAGTTGTGGAGTTGTAAAGTATTTTGTCTAGTGTCAATTATATCGTTATCGCAAATTTTCAAATGTATATTGTGATAAATATTTTTGGTCATATCGCCCTGCTCTATTCCAGAGTACTTAAACTAGGTGATCTGTACTATAGTAGTAGGATTACTGCCTAGTTCTATTTAAGCATACTGTGCCCTGGTCCTCTTCTTGAGGTGGGTCTGGGGGTGGTTCAGCTGAACTCAAGCACATTACACTTATATTATCTATCCATGAAGCCAGATAACACTCACCAATTAGACTGTAGGATTGTCTTAAAGACATAAAGACCTGTATGATCTCTAATTTTCTTCTTCTAAAGTCACATAAAACTGAGGTTATTGTACTTGGCCCTAAAATCTCAGACATATGATATTTCTAAGATTGTACCAACACTGTCTTAACAACAGCTGCCTCTGTAAGATTGCTGTGTTAAATAGTTAATCAATGTTTTAGGCATGTTTGAGGACAGTGTGTCAACTCTTCTAGCATGCTCCAATGAAACCACAGAATCAAAGGGAGACTGAGAGAAAGTGAGGAAACTACAAGATATTTACATGCTGGTTATCCCTTCATTGGAACTGAAGTTGACTGTGTAATGAATGAATAATTGAAGGAGCTCAATACACACAACACAATACATACAATACACCCACTACTGTCTTAGGAAAAGCGACCCTGTTTCTTTGTGCTTTCTGGTCTCATGGGCCCCTCTGACACTGTGGCGCTGTCTGCTTTTCTCAGGTATGGGATGCAATGAATGTACCCATCCATCATGTCAGCACTCTCTCAACTCGTTGGGCATTGGACAATGTGTGGAGTGTGATAGTGGAGTTTTAGTGTTGGACCCCACATCTGGTCCAAAGTGGAGGATGGCCTGTAATAAATGCAATGTGGTGGTGCACTTCTTTGAACATGCACACAAAGTGCAGGTAAGAAAATTGTCTTACCTACCTATTGTCTTACTTTATTATTGTCTATTATGGACTGGCATGTATAGATGTTTTCAAACTGACCACACTCTATACTACAGTAACGTTCAAACTTTCTCACATATTCATACAGCACTTCATTCTATGCACTTACACTCTTTATTGCCGTTGCATCCTCACCTAATGCCAAGGTAGAATCGTCATTTCGTAATACCCATGTTGTTTGTCTGTGGGAGAAAGCCCATTGTAAGTACAGAGAGCATGTAACCTCCTCACAGAGAGGTCAAACTGTTTCAGTTTTTTCCATACAAGCATCTTTGATCTATAGCATTACTGAAACCGAAGAAAGTATGAAACAGTACCCCAGTTCCTTGATTTATTTATTTTTGTTAATGCTTTTTTCTCAGGTTGCTCAGGAGAGCTGTGATGTCTGTGATGCCTCTCTAGTTGCAGTGGACTTTAACAAGACTCGCACTCCTCTTCCTGCCAGTGAGACCCAACACACTGGCTGTGTTTTTTGTGATCCAGTGTTTCAGGATTTGGTGGAGCTCAAGCATGCCACCATGCGGCATTCCATGTACCGTGGTGGGGGTGGGAGAAGAGGAGGACGTGGACGTGGACGTGGACGTCGTGGCAATGCTAAAAAACCTAAAGATAAAATGGCTGCCCTAGCTGCTTATTTTGTATAGTTTCTGTGTGTATATTGTCCTTTTGCATGTCATTACATGAACTGGTTTTCTTCTGATAATGAATCTAAATATGGTAAATGGCCTGTATTTGTGTAGCGCTTTACTTAGTCTCTGTTGAACCCAAAGCACTTTACACTACTTTCAGTCATCCACCCATTCACACACACATTCACACACTGGTGATGGCAAGCTACATTGTAGCCACAGCTGCCCTGGGGCGCACTGACAGAGGCGAGGCTGCCGGATAATAGCGCCACCTGGCCCTCTGACCACCACCACCAGTAGGCAACGGGTGAAGTGTCTTGCCCAAGGACACAACGACCGAGACTGTCGGAGCCAGGGCTCGAACCGGCAACCTTCCGATTACAACATGAACTACCAAGTCTTGAGCCCACGATCGCCCCATAAATACACAACAAATGTTTTGGGTTTTTTTTTAAATCATTTTTTCCCATTTTGTTAAGTGCTTTGAGTGGTCAGGTAAAGTTAAAAAAAAACACTATATAAGAACTAGAACCATTTGTCATTGTTACTAAGCACCTAAAAGACACATGACTTTATTCTATGCACTTTTTATCTATTATTCACACTTAAAGCCACCACAACAACAATCACCTAAAGGCACTTTATATTGTTGGGAAAAGGCCCTACAATACTACAGAGTATTGTACAGAGAAAACACCACCCCTATGAGGAAATGCTTTTGGCGAAAGAAGAAAAACTCCCTTTTAAAAGGAAGAAACCTCCAGCAGAACCAGGCTGCACCAATGAGATTAACTAAATTCATCTCAATATTAATTTTAACTTTTTATAAACTGCTACTGGCATTGTAAACAGGCTAACATTTTGTCATTATTTAATCAGCATTCTCCAAAACAATTGTGAAAAAGTTTGTTATTTTACATGTAGTTTAATTACTTGATCTTCATTTAAACTATTTCACTGCAGATTTTCCTCTTTGAAGAATTTTTCACATAAAAGGAAGGTATAATTACAGAATAAAATTATAGCAGTCTTACATTACTAATGTGTTTAAGTACTGCTTTTGGCAAAATGATGATACAACATGGGAACAAATTCATGACTAGGTGTAGCCAACCAACAGACTTAACACACATGAGACGCATTCTGCTAATTGGGGGTAATTGACTGATTCAGTGAAAGGGGTGTGTTCAAATTAATAGCAGTGTGGATTTCAGGTCATTCAATCTGTGAAGAAATGGGTGTCAATTAAGGCCCTTATTTAAGGAAGGAAGGCAGCAGCTGTTGTACCTGCTGGTTTTAGCCCTTGCTCAGTGAGTAAAATGAGTTGTTCCAGACATTGCACTGGGGGAGAAAGAACTTTAATCAAAAGTTGATTGGAGAGGGGGAAATAATTGGCTGCTCAGCTAAAAAGATTTCAAATGTTTTGAAATGGGAAAGAAAAAGGAATACTACCATCTGCCTAGATGATAGAATAACAAGAATGGCAAAGAAGCATCCAGTGATCAGCTCCAGAGAGATCAAGGAAGATATATAGATCTCCATTTACCTGTGAGTACTTTAACAATCAGAGGAGAGGATGCCTATGTGAAGCCAAATTATTTCCAAGAAACCTCGTAAAAAGTATTGAAAAGGTTACAGTTTGCCAAAGAACACATTGACTGGCCCAAAGAGAAGTGGCACAATATTCTATGGACTGATGAAAGCAAGATTGTTCTTATTGGGTCTGAAGATTGCAGACAGTTTGTGAGACGACCCCCAAACACTGAATACAAGCCACAGTACACAGTGAAGACCGTAAAACAAGGAGGTGCAAGCATAATGGTTTGGGGATGTTTCGCATACTTTGGAGTTGGGTCCATTTATCACATAACAGGCACCATGGACCAGTTTCAGTACCTAAAAATACTGGAAGAGTATTTTTAGGTACTTGATCGAAACTTTTAACATATTTTTCAAACTAAATATAATTTGTTGGTTTGTTTTGTTTTTTGCCTTACGCAGAGAAAGAAATGCCCCTAAAATGGGTGTTTCAGCAGAACAATGACCCCAAACACACCAGCAAGCAGGTAACATCCTGGTTGCAGACCAAAAAGAGCCCAGCCCAATCCCTGGACCTCAATCTGATTGAAAATTTGTGGTGTGACCTCAAAAATTCTGTTTTTGACGCAAAACCCAAGAATACAGAAAATCTGTGGAATGTGGTCCAGTTAGCCTGGGCTGCAACTTCTGTTTGAAGGTGTCAAATGCTAGTTGACTGTAAATATTCCAGTTTGTAAATGAAAATACACACTTTTTTTTTTTTTTGAACAACCTAATATTCTTTTTCTTCATTTTTAGTAAAAATAAAGAAAAATAATTGTTCATGATTTCATTTGAGAGTGAATTTGCATAGCACAACATGGACCTTTTCCTCTGTTTTTAATACACTGTTATGTTGTACATAACTGTACGTAGGACACCTGGGTCAAGTGATGGATTTTTTGTTAATGCTACAAACTATTTTTTTTGAGGCTAAATGGAAATCTTCTAAATCAGCAAGATGTCGTTTCCTCTGCAGCTTACACATCATCTGCTTTAAGATGTGCATTAGAGAGTTATTTCCAGGATGTCAAGTACTTCAGATTTAAGGCTTTTTCAGGAGAGCGACCTTATCCAGAGTAATATGCAGTGTAAATCCTATTTAAAAAGACAATCTATTTCTGTGGGAGTAGTTCAGGTAGCTTGCTCTCCACAAAGATAATAACAATGAATTAATTATATTCTTAATCTTAGTTACAGCACTCTCAATAGAATAGAATTCAATAGAATAGAATTCAACTTTATTGTCATTGCACATGCACAGGTACAGGGCAACGAAATGCAGTTTGCATCCATCCAGAAGTGCTTTAGTGATATAGATATATTACAATATATATTAGCAATAATATAGATATGTGAGTATATTACAGAAATGGGTCTATTATGGTATGTTATAATGTACACGGTATGAAGTATGTTGTGAATATTCTATAACTATAAGTATGTACAGGCTGTAGTGAGTACAAGCTATGTACAGGATATGAACAGGATATAAATATGAAAAACTATACAGAATATGAAATAAATAACTTTACAGAATCTGGGATATACAGCTATACAGAAATGGGAACTATGCAAGTTGTAAACAGTTGTAGGATTAAAGATTATCGAATGTACAGAATGATTATTTACACAGAGCTATACAGTAGTGCAGTTAAGATAAGTGAGGGTGTAGATAGTTTCTACAGAGTATTAGATTATTCTGTTATTATATGTTACCTTATATATGTAATCAAAGTAGTTGAATTAGAATACTGCTGTAGATCACATTATACCCTTTAATATAGAGTGTGTGAGCTGTATGTAGTTTAGTTCTCATTATACTTTTGAGTTAACAGAACATATTCACATATTAGTTCATTAGATAAATGTGCATCACTCTGTATCCTTGATCTGCTGGGAATGTGTTACACTGTTTTCTTGACATGCTTAATTGTTGAATCATGAAGAGAAGGTTGTAAGCAGGAGACTCTGTGTCTAAAGACAGGGGAGATAGATAGACCACATTCCACACCCCCACCTTACAGAAAGCAGAGAAACAACTGCCGAGGTCATAACTTAGGCGCTGTAACAGAGAAAAAATGTGATGTTTTGGCTTTTACGACTAGCTGGGGGCCACTAGAGACTATAAAAAGCTGAGCAACCCGTCACCATTTAGAGACATGTGCCTGACCCTCTGGTAGCATCTCTCCCGTCCGGACGTTGTAATGTTCTGACTGTTGAATTGTATGGAAATAAATGATTGTTGATTGAGCATTGATACACCGAGTATTGTCCTTCCTTCAGCCCAAAGATTCAAAGAATTGGGAGATTTCAACAACTTGGTGCCGTGTGACCCGGATCTTTGGTGTGCTGAGGAGGTGCAGATTTGACCTTTGGTGAGATCGTGAGGCGAGGTGAACAGAGGACCGGTCCAAAAATAAAAAGGTAAGCACAGCCTGTTGTATTATAAATACCAAATGTGCATATTGGGCTTTCCAAATTAATCTGTTCGCTGAGTCACATGTATTTTCACAGTAAATTTGTCGGTGTCTGGTTTTTGGCGCAAGATACTAACAACATAAGTTGAGGCTGAATTCCAGTGTGTTAAATAAACTGCTTCTACCGAGATACTAATAACATACTACGTTGGACTAGTTGCAGTAATCTGCTTCTACCGAGATACTAATAACATACTACGTTGGACTAGTTGCAGTAATCTGCTTCTACCGAGATACTAATAACATACTACGTTGGACTAGTTGCAGCCACTTTACCTTCCACATTTAATTTTGTCTAATACTGGCTTCTGTAGCAATAATAAATTAGAATTTATTCTGAAGACGCGGCCATTAGTTCAGTACATTGAAGTCGAGGTTTGAAGTTTGTTTATGGTGTCGGTTACGTCCTGGCTCTTGCCGGCTATGAAATAGAAGTTGATTTAAGGAAAAGCAGATGCTGGCTTCACGGTGCGGTTGAACGCTGGCAACGCGAGAGCGAAACACGTCCGTAGGTTTGGTTTATGATACGGCCGTGTTCCGGTGGTGCGGCCGTGAAGTGCAGTAGTGGTTGGTGCTAATTTTAGTACATTGAACAGAGGCTTGACGGTGGTTTGTGGCGTCAGTCGAGTTTTTTTTTTTTTTAAGGGCTGCGGTCATAAAACAAAGTAAAATTTTACTTGCCAAGAAGTACATAGAGCAAAACCTGGTTTATGATGTCGGGTATAACTTCGGGGATGCAAGCATCACTTTTATGATGCGACTTTGCCCCGTTGTGGCGGTCATAAGCGCAGAGAAAGGGGTATTTTGGTCTATGGTGCAGTGTGCTTCAGAAGATCTAATAGTTGAGCTCAGAGGTTTCTGTGCAAATTTCTGCTGATGAGGAGCGCTCTCTGTGTGTCTCACTGATGGTGAAACGCGCTGTGTGTGTAAGGCGCGCTCTGGCTGTGGGTGAGGCGCGCGCTGAGTGTGCTTTTTGTGTGTGTGAAGTCTGAACACAGTGACAGTGACGGTTGATGTGTTTGATTAGGAGGACATTAGAGCAAATACACA